CCTCTCAAAACATCTGGCCATCTCAGGCTGGGTGCTGGGCTATGTACCTGTCCCTTAGCACAGCTCATTCAAAGCACTTCACAATCATCAGGCAGAACAGTACTTAGATTCCTTTATCCAAGTACTTCTCAGGTTTTCTTCAAATCCTTACTGATACTGGTAATTTAATTTTAGCAGGCAATATTTGTAGAGATTTTTACACAAGAATTGCTCACTCCCAGGTTAACTTCTAACCTATTATGACTACGTTCTGCAGTAACATAGCATGAAGCCCATTAATGCAAACACTTTAAAATGTATATATATATCCTGTAATTTTTTTATCCTGAAAAATGCAGACCTTTTACTTTAGCATTATTCAACTTTCTGAAATAATTAGAAGTTACCATCTTCTGGCATTTATCTTTCAATACAACTACAAATAATATTTAACTTTATTGAAAAGTCAGCTGACTAAAATTCTTATTTTCCAGTCTTTATCACTTTCCATAGGTTCAGCTCTTTCTGCTATTTAATCATAACAAGTAAAACATTATTTTAAGTTTTAATATTGCTTGCCTACTAGAGGCCAGAAAGTAGATTTTAGAAATGTAATAAAAACAGAAGATATTTTAACACTTTCCTACAAAACTGGTCCTATTTGGTTCTTTAGGCACATGGGAACAATTCCGCAAACATAACCAGGCCTGCTGCTCCGAAATACAGCTATGCACATTTGCAGATACATAACTTCAGTGGGAATGCTCTTGATGGTAAAGTTCAGTATGCACTGTTATCAAAAAAGGGCTTGTCATTACTATCTTTCATTCATGATTCACTTAAAAGAAATCCAGGATGCAAATTTAATTTAAAAACTACTTGAGAAGACCTATTTGTAACTAAGCATTGTAAGCTAATGCAAGACAGTCATGCAAAATACATGACTGTTCCACCATGGAAGTTTTCCATTCATAAAAGGCAAAGTTCTCTGAAATACGTAAAGTTTCCTAGGTACAACCAAACTTTTATCCGGATCGTATTTCTATAAGAATCCAATCCAATAAGACAGATTTAATCACCCACTCTTTCAGCAAGTTGCACTGTTTTGCTAGTGTGACAGCTAAAGCCTTTAAAGAGAAAAATAACTTGGTTCAGAAACAGATGAACTTTACAGCCTAGGGTAGACAGCAAGGGAGTTATGAGGACTATATTAAAAGGCACAGAGAAACAGAAGCTGCAGCCAATGCTCCCATTTATATTGACAGCTACAACTCAACACCCTTCATTTAAACTGTTCACATCAGGAAAAGATGTGAACAAGTTAGACAAAACACTCTGCAAACAAACACTAGACTTGATTTGGATGCAGGGGTGAAGACCTCACTGGCCAAGTTTGCGGATGACACCAAATTGTGGGGAAGCGTAGAAACGCTTGAAGATAGACTGCAGATACAGGTGGACATAAACAGGCTAGCAAGTTGGGCGGATTGGAATAAAATGAAGTTCAATGCCAAATGAAACACAAGGTCAGAGGAGGGGCACACTGAAGGGCTCTGGGTTAGGCTCCGGAGCAGTGAGAGACACATGGGTGAAAGCCTGCCGCGCCCCTGCTCCCCCGAAGCCCCCCCTCAATGCATAAGCTAATGCTTACTTCACTAAGATCTTTATGAAGCAAACAAGATAAAGATCTGACTACAATAATGACAGTGATTGGCTGAGTGGGGAACCCAGGTGCCCCCTCAGAACCAGGAGGCACCAGTCACTGAACCAGGAGGCGGGGGGAGGGTCCCCCGCGTGCTCTGCAGTAGACCTGGAAGTGGATCAGAAGTTATTCTGATCCACTTCCAGGTCTGCTGCTGAGTGCGCAGGGACACCACCACCTCCCCGTACGCTCTCATGGGACACTCCATCCGCCCCAGCATCTCAGCATTTATGAGCCACCTGCTACCTTGAGGTACGTAGAAAAAACATTTAAAGCTGTGTCTATGTCCGAATCATTGAATCTCTAAATCGATTCAGAGGGTTCAGATTTGATTCAGAGAGATTAAAGGGTCTCCTGATTCAACTCAGATTCGGAGATTCAGCCGCCAAATCGAATCAGCGACCAAAGCTTCGTACAGCCCTACTTAACTGCTTTGTTTCTCTCTCTCCTACCTACCTTTCCTCTCCTAGCACTGTTCCCTTTTTTTTTTTTTTTATCTTCCCTAACCTTTCTATTCCAATCACTGCTTTCTATTTATATGTTCTGCTTCCTGCAGTCCCTTCATAGCATCTGATGAAGTAAGTCCACTGCTTATGAAAGCTTATACACCACTGATTTAGTTAGTCTGTATGGTGCAAATCAATCCTGCCTGACTTCAGACTAATACAGACAACTACCTCCCTCTACACTATCCTCTCTCACCTAACCATTGCTACAGCAGTGCTATATTATTGTAGTATGACTTTTTGCATATTATTTATTATACTTAAATGATAATAGTATTGAATTGATAAACCTCTGTCTTTTATGAACAACTAAAACTCCATTTTGTGCTTGCTCCCTGCTTGACATGAGTAGATGAACTTCATATGCCCTGTGTATGTGACTGTCTGTCTGAGAGGGTGAATGGTGAAAGAATGGTAACTATTTGCATGAAAACAGAAGATTTAATTGATTGTGTAAGCAACAAGGCATCAGCGTATAAGTTACCAGATAGTAAGCTAATTAATGGATGGCTGAAGAACCCGTCTGTTATCAGGTGCAAAGAAGATAGTAAGAAGAAGGAGTTTTGCATATCTTGTCATTTTAACTACACAATGCTTCAAGGCAGAGATACCGACTACATAATGCTTCAAGGCAGAGATCAAGATTGAAATAACTCTGAGATACCAACTTTACTGGAATGACTTCAAGTTGAGCTAACCAGAAGAAACAACCTCTAATTAAAGACTGAGCATGGAAAAACCCCAATGCTGAACAAAGACTTGAAATCTCTATAAAAGTGAGATGCAGACAAGCCAAGATGGGGAATCCACTCTCTGCAACCTCATGGAGCACAGGCACGCATGTCTGTTCTTCCCCTGCTCCTATCACCCTCAATAAGCCTGGACCCAGCCATCCAGTGCTGATATTGAGTAACTTCTGTTGGTAACTGTAACATCTTACTGGAGTGGTTTTGTCTGTATGTCTGTCTATGTCTGTTTGTATGTATGCTTGTGTATGTCTGTTTGTATGACTGGTGTGTCCAAGCTTCTGTATCTGCTTCATGTAATCAATAAACACGGCATTTTGCCTTATCCCCCTTTATAAGGTCTCGCTCTTAATTTGAGCAATTGGCAATTTAAAGTAACATTATACAAGCACATATTATACAGATGCTATGAAAATATGCATATCAAAATGTACACTACATAAGAATGTAAAATATAGGTAAATCATCTGATATCACAAGCCTTTTAATCATATACAAAAATCTCTACAGAACAAAAAGACTGAGATTTTTTAGCAGGCCACCAGTAGCCTGTGGGAAGTGGAGAAGCCCAGTACTACAGAATACTATAGGTAGAAGTTTTATATTAATACTTCTAGAAACACATTTTTAAAAAAATCCCATCCTTAAAAACAGAAAACTGCTGAACCAGCTTTTGAACAGCAAAGAACAAAAGTTCATGTAAAAATATTTTTTTCAAATATTTTTCCCTTTTTGTGAAGTTTTTCACTGTCTCTATTTTCCATCCAGTATTAATAGCAAAGATGTTAGTGTTAGTAAAATGTTGGCCAGATTAATGTTTTTTTTCTACCCTGCTAATTATAGAACTAATTTTTAAATGTTATTTTCCAGCTTGACACCTGAACAGTCTTGAGAACGTGACCACTGCATTTTTTATTACTGCAAGGTGCAAATATCAGTCAAAGCTTTGCAGCACTCCCAAAGTCTGACTCCTCACCGAAACTCATCAAGACCACCACCACCACAATAGGCCAGAACCACAGTCTCCCCTGTGATGGCTCCCTTTCCTCTACAGTTGAAACTATATGATTTTGTAGTGTGTACTTTCCTTACAGGCATATTTAAAATACAAATTAATGGAAGTGGCCCAAAATTTCCAGACAAGTTCACCTTCAGATTGATATGAGAATGAGGTTTCAGCTGAAAATGAAATTTCTGAGTATGCTAAGAGCATGTGGAAAAAGGTGGTTAACCATGTCAATCTGAAGTCAAGCAGAAAGTAGGGTAGGGAGGCACCTGAAAACCTATTTTTTTTCATTCTTAATGTTTTCAACACTACTCAGACACACACAGAAAACACACTTTCATCATGCCAACCCTCAAAAAAAAAAAAAGGACAAGTAAGTGAAAAAACAAAACTATTTTAATTTGTACCAAAAAAAGTCCATTTTCCTTGATACTCTACAGGGCTCTCCAACTTCTCAGCAGTGTGGGGCCACATCTGTGTGGGCCACAGGTCCCTCTGGGCCATACAACAACATGTGGATTCCCCCTCCATGCACTCCAAGGCACACTGAACTTTTGCTGCCACATAAGCTCCCCTGCCAAGTGGGGCACCTGGAACCTAGCTCCAGGCTCCCCAGATGTGCAGTCCTGTCTTCTGGGCAAGAACGAAAAGTGCGATCAAAAAATTTAAAAGATCATAAGATTTAAAAATATATTACTCAGGTAAATTCCTCAAAACTCTGGATGCCAGAAGAGGATGAGGAAAAGCCAAAAACATGAGGGAAAAATTGATTTTCAAGCACTTTATTTTGTTAGCTAAACCAAGGCTGTCCAGCTTCAAAATAGATGGGGGCCAAATGCACTGTGGTTCTCACCAGTGGGGGCCATGTACCTGTAAGCCACTCCAGGGCAAGCCATGGGCCCCCTAGGCTACACAGATGCTCCCTCAGTGCTCTGCATAAGTTCTCCCACCATGCACCTATAACCAGCACAGTGCAGCTATATTTTTCTCCATATTAAACTGCTGTTCATATTCACGGGTATATCTTCCTTTGTTGTTTTTAAACAGCATTATCTTCCTACCTTGCAAACAGTCTCGGTATCCCAGGGCAAAATAGTCTTCAGATCAATTATTTCACAGGACACACCAAGCTTTTCCTGAGCCATGGCTGCTACCTCTTTGATTACATGCACCTGAAAAGGCAAGGTAATTCACAAATTGGATCTCTGAAATATTAATGTGATGCTTAAAATTTACCCAGTTATACAAATCTCAGACAGAGAATAGTTTATTATTTGATTTGGTAACACCAATGTTTGAAATTAACAGACTAGTTATTCAGCAAGCATTTTTCTCATTATTACTTCAATACTGTGTTAAAAAACTAATAAATACCTCTCAAAAACAACTGACAAGTACTAAGCATTAAAAACTTAGAATTTTTATTCAACAGAGACAATTCATTTAATTTCTGGTAAATATCACTGTAAAATATTAAGGTTGATTCAATCCATTTCCTGTTTTTGAAGTGTTAAATTATGAATAGATTAAGTAACAAAAGCACTGTCAAGGCCTAAAGTTCTCTTCATCCAAAATGAGAGTGCAATTGACTTAACTGAGAAAGTAAAGTGTCTACCTGCCAACCTGCTATGACAATACAAACTTTCAGACTTTGATTAATTTCAAATCTTAGCATGACTATGGCTGTAACATTTAGTAAATATAATTCTTCCTCCATATGGAAATGGACTGTAGCTAGTTTTGACTGATGAAAAATAGATTATTCATTATCCAGAACAGAAATCTGTCTAATAATATATTTTTAAAGAGGTTCTTGCAAGCTTCCATCTTCTGACATCCTTTACATATTGAGTATGCTATTTAAAAAGAGAATTGTTCAACACTATAATGGTAAAATACAACACTAAATATAAATATTATATTTCATCTTCTAGTCTTGCCAACAAAATCTCTTAATATATGTGTACAGCCTTTTATAAGACCAATATTATGGTCACTAACAAATGTTCTGATGCTGTTAAAAACTACCAAAGCAGCATTGACTGGGACTAATTATTTGTAGTGTACACATCACCATTCACAAAGTATATGGTTATAGGATAGAATAATGGGGAAGACTTCTTAAGTTGTAAAAGTTACATAAATTTAAAAACCAAAAGATTTCTAAAACCTCTACCTGATTCTTGCAAAACAATTTTCTCCTAACCAGGAAGGCAGCAGTTCAAAGGATAAATGAAGGCAGAGGTTGGCCATGAACTTTCTAGGACAGCTTTCTTTTCCCTTTTCTTTTAAAAATGGTTTACCAGGTAACTACATATTTTCCTACAGACTCCATGCATCATGTATTATCTAACACTGCAAGCTTTGTAGTGTGACTGCACACACAATATTAACCAAACGTATGAAATGATTATCACATTCAAAACCTTTGCAGATAGAGAAGGTGACGTCTGGCATGCTGGTAACGTAAGTGAAGAATATGTGCTATCTAGATGCAAGTTCTCTCCTGCCATAAGCTGATTAATGACATCTGCTAAATTTCTCAATCTTTCCTGAGCAGTTTGCATGAGAACTATTGAAGAGAATTATCTCAAATGATCTAGTTCTTTACTTGTGGATAAACTAGGATTTGCTCACTTTCTACCACAGCCAGGCATTTGGCTTTTTCCCCTTGCTGCTGATAGTCTGAAGAGCAATTCCAGCTTTGATAATGTGTACTTTCAACTTGAACTCTTACCCACTTACTGTGGCAAAGATGGATGGCTACCTATAAAGATGCATCTTGAAGACTGAAGTGTAAAAAACAGGTCTTGTGCAAACTGGATACACCAATAGTAATAATCGTTTCTGGTCCTTGCTTATCCTTTCCAAAAGATAGCTAGACGATACTGTGTTACTGTACACAGCTTTCTACAGTCATATCTAGAGACAAAATGAACATTAAAGACCCATTGTATAAGGCAAACCCATTGTGCAAAGCGCCTCAGCTTTAGGAGGGTTTACAGACTAGACAGCTGAATGAAAGAAAGGAAGAAAAAGCTAAAGTATTCAAGCAAAACAAAAACAAACAAACAAAAAATGCCAGAGACAAAACAAGAAACCTGTGACGTGGAAATTGAACCCAGATGCCCCAAATCCACAGTCCAGTGCCTCTATCACAAGACTATATATCTGTATCTCCAGCTATATCCTCACTTTTTCCACCCTGCCAATTTTTAACCTTTACTATGTATGCATTATAGAAATGCCTAAGGATATATTTCTCTAACATATTTGTGTTTTTTAGAATGAGTTAAAAGTGTGATAATTTAAGATACCAAATTAATTTCACATGTATCAGGAACACCTAAAGCAGCAGGTGCTTAAACAGTAATTCTTAATTAGGCACCTGGGAAACATGATTAAATTCCATTTAGGGCATTTGTTTATACTAAACCATGAACATTAAAGATTATGGATAAAATGATTTAGTGCAGGAGGAAAGATGAATTTTAAAGACAAATCAACAAAAGTGCTGCAACAGGAAAGCAGAAAACAAGAATATTTTTGCTTTATATTTTAGAAAGATCAATGGCTGGAACAAGAGAGATCTCCGGTGATATTTCAAACGTGAAATAATCATATTTTGCATACTATGGCCTCTCTGTTTTCTTGTGTGTGAATAAAGATGCGTACTTACCTGCCTCCTTCACGGGGTGATTATGCAGATTAGTGGAAGTTTGCAAAGCACTTCTGAATATCCAGAGCATTAAAGAAAATCATATATTATTATTATTATTATTAATTATTCAGAGGTTTCCAGGATCTCTATTTGGACTGCATTCTGGAAGGCTCAAAAAAGATGCTACTCTTAAAAGTTCTGACATGCTGTCAAAGACCAGTTGCTCTCCACAATATTATAGAGCAAGAATATCTGAAGTGTTTATTACTCTAATCCTGAGAGGTACCTTTCAAGGTATTGCTATATGCAACCTTTTCCCTACCTTTTATTTCCAATGTCACAGCACTGTGAACATTGTCAATACACACTGTTTTTGATTTAAACAGAGTATTACTAGGCGTTTTTCTATTTTACCTCAGAGACATTTTTTACCTAGCAGTCTAGAAAGGGAATATATTTCTCCTGTTCCAGAGAGAAATAAAGCGATCTTATCGTGTTGAAGATGAACATAAAAATATGGTCAAAAGCATGAAGGCAGCTTTGATTTTCTTCCAATACAGTGTCAGAACGGGGATATTAGATATTAACATGCAAGCCAAGAGAATACAAAACACCATTGTGTAGAGCTATAGAGATCACAGTTTCTCTAAAGAAAAGCAGACTGAACTAATACTGTATTTTAGTGATGGAAATTATGCCATCCTCTCCTGGAACCTTTCCCAGAGACACAAAAGATAATAAAAATACTGGCTGTCCTCCTATACTTCTTCTCTCAAGTGAAAGTATATGAGCAGATACTGATCAAAATACAAATTTTGTATTTCAAGTTATGAATATTATTTGTAAAGAGCTCAGGGTCAAAAGACATTAAACACTGTTTCCCAAGCAACCACATCAGTCTGAGAACCCTGAAGTACATGCACGTATCATATTTTTTCACATACAATGTTCATCTTTTCCACCAAAATCAGCCCTCCCAAAATTGCAGTGCATATTTTAAGTGAGGAAGCTGTTTTCTTCACTGGAAAAGGAGTACTCCTGGAGACAGGGTGCATGCCACACAGCTGCTTAGAAGGCTACCACTTCTGTCTGCTCAACAAAATGAATGGGTGGAGTCTTACATTAACTCTGTCATAGCCACAGCTATTAGTTGAGCACTACAGTTTGTGCCCAAAGCAGCTAGTGAGCTGCTGATAGCATCTTAATAAGGGTTGTGATGTGAAAACAAGACTTTATTTACAATAACTTATATAGGAACTACTTACAGTAAAGAAGCAACAATTTTTCTACTGCCCTGTGCAAGGATCTGGGGCCTCACCTTGTGGGATACAGAATAAGTCCTCCTGGAAATGTAGGGCATTTATAGATGTACTCCAGGATGCAGGGGAGGGGAGCAGCACTTTAATTAAAAGAGCCTGGAGCATCATATGCATCAGCGTCCCTGCGCCGAAAAATGGTAGCGGGGCACTTTGAACTAAAGCTCATCAAATGCACCCTGCCACCATTTTTCAGTGTGGGGATGCTGATACACATGATGCTGGAGTCTGTTGGAGTGCGGTCATTTCCACACTCCAACAGACTCAGTTGAGTTGTGATGGACCCCGCAGACTGACAATTAATAGAGTCTGCTCCAATGCGCTGGAATTACAGCGCGTAAGAGCAGTCTCCCTGCATGTGTGCAAGTGCCCATAGTGCGCAGGAAGTGTGGCATCACAGGAGACAGTCTGCCACTCCAGGAAGTTCTAGATGCCACACTTTCTGGACACACTCCATTTCCAGGAAGACTCACTCCATGTCCCACTCAGCCATGACTCTAGAAAAATCACTCTCTCTCTACATTCTGCTCCCTTCCAAAAACAAGGCACATGTTTTATTTGGGTGCATGTTACATGCGAAAATATATAGTACATATATGTTGAGGGGTTATAATTTACATTTTTCCCAAGCTTTAAAAGAGTTTTCCACATCTTTTAGTTTTACAAAGGTTATGGAAAACAATTGTGAACATTGCGGGCAGCTTAGAAATTACCCTAAGCTGAATTTTAGCCAGTTTTAGATATAAACGTCATTGCTGAAGAACAAGATAGATTTCTACACCTCCCTGCCTTTCTGCCACCTGACACCACCAGGGAAGGAATCCTGCCTGATCTGCACATCAAAAAGCAACTCACAAAGACACTCTCATGGACCCAGAGGAACAGACTTCCACCTTCAGCTTCCTCTGTGCAAAAAATAAGTTTATTTTCTACCTATGGGGACTTTGAACCGTCTTTACATTTTCCATGAGAAGGAAGGGCACATGTGCCCGAAAAATTGCAGAAAAAGATACTTTTTTTGAGACTTCTTAGTTGGTCTAATAAAAGGTATCATCTCTGAACCAAAAGTTCTAGTATTTTGAATTTTTTTTCCTAGGCATGTAGGTATTCTATCTAGTAAAAGTTTGAAGTTACCTGGAGAAATTTGAAAAGCTAGTTCTCAAAAATTTAAGAGGTGGACCAAGAACCCCCAAAGTTCCAGAAGAAACAAACCAAGCGCACCAACTAGGGTAGAGCAAGTGTCTTTTACCATGCTATAAATAGCTACTTTTATTTCAGTGGTGCTATTTTAGGCTCCGTTTCGTTTTCCTGATAAGTCACATTTCATTAGTCCATTTTCACAGCAGACGATAGGCTCCGTAAGTGTCTTATACAAGTCTTACTGACCTGAGTTCCCCAGGCAACCATAGTAACATCACTTCCCTCCTGCAGCACCTCAGCTTGAGACAGCGGAATATAGTATGGCTCCACAGGAACTTGTTCCACTGAATGGATAAAAATTTACAAAAGAAAGAAATAAAGATTAGATTTTTCTTACTAAGAAGCATTTGCCCAAGGAAACACTTTAAAAATCAAAACACAGAATAGTTAATCATTAATGTATCTGTTACCACCTAGTAGAAAATAATAGGCTGAATTCATATGGAGTAGTGATATCAAACAGGAAATTATGTTTAACAGTGATGCTGTATGGTGCTTGTTCACTCCAACACTTCATGTATCATAGCTACTAATCTTAAAAGATAAATGCCTACCACTGAGAGGCAATAAACCCCTCCTGATCATTGCCAAACAAACACAGTATGTAAATAAAGCATATACCAAAGTACTGTTGATTGAAGTTTTTATCAGTATAATTTTGGGAAAGTCCCCATTACTCTTCTCAGTTACAAAACAATGAATGAATGATGCAGTCCATTCATAATGAACATTGAAAAAAACCTTGATATTTTTACACTTATATTTTAACAAATTTCATAGTTAAGGGAATAACTGTTCCTTAGATCCCTCATCAAAACTCCACAGTCAACAGAAAAAGTGGATTTACTGCAGCAATGTTGTTTCCCCCTTCCAGTATTAATACAACAGACCCAATTGTATTTGGAACCTGCAAGAAGCTTCTTTCCTGAGGTCTATGACAAGCATTAGATAAAACTTTTATTTTAAGTCACTTTTAAAACAAAGGTTTTGGAGAAAAGGGTTAGAACAATAGAAGCCAGCTCATGGTAAAAGAGTTGTGTAATTTTAGGCTGGAATCTGGGAATGAACAGCCAAGCTATTGGTCTCTTAGTTTTTTAATGGCATTTATCCCATAGGTTTTTGCTTGTTTCTTTTGTTCCAGTTTGCTCTTCCCAACAGCTTATTTTGGATTCAATCTAAGCAGATAAACTGAACCGTACATAATATTAATGAAAAATCAATGCCGACATCAACTTTATTCTCCGCAATATAAAATAGGGGGAAAATGTAGAAACTATTCAGTCCTTTTAAGGGTTTATTCCAGGGGTGGGCAAAATGGTGGATCCAGCCAGTGACCAGACCCCATTTCCTAGCAGCCCCTGCCCATGTTGCTGCAGCTGGTTTCTATGAAGACCCCAGAAGTGGTGGGTCATGACAGCTTGGGACCAGGGTCTCCATGGAGATGGGCCCCAGCAGTGCTGGCAGGGCATGCAGCTGGACGGAAAAGCTGCTTTCAGGCTGGGATCTTGCAGCCATGACATCCTGGTCCAAAGCCATGGCATGGTCTGCACACCCCTACCCAGACCGTGCTGCAAGATCTTGGCCTCAGAGCAGCTCCCCACCTAGCCGCATGCCCTGCCAGCACTGCTGGGGCCAGTCTTCACAGAAACCCTGGCCCCCTACTGTCACAGACCCACCACTGCTGGGGTCTCCATGGAAACCACCCACAGCAATATGCACAGGGACTGCTGGGAAATGCAGCCTACCACAGGCCCAAGCTGGCCCATGGGCCAGATTTTGCCCACCCCTGGTTTATTCAGTATTAATTTTTATAACCTTTACCTTTGAAGTTGGGCTTTTTCAACAGCATGCATCTAACCAAAGGGAACTTTTAGAGAAAAGAAAAATTGATCTTGTACAAACATTTAAAATGACCCAATATAGATTTCTATATACAATTATGACATTTTAATGTCTTTATTTTAGGACTTTCTACAACAGGGAGTTATGGTCTAAATGGAAAGATGGATCACTTTCTAATAATAACAATAAGGATCTCCTATTTCTAAGCGTAGATCTCAGAATAGAAATAGAAAATTTTAGCCATGTGCCTGGTAAAGGACAGAACATTGCCTGCTTTTGCCTTAGTCCCATGCATAATGTGGTGAAATTCCACACCTGCTAAATTACTTATTTAGTAGTCCCTTTGAAATAACAACAAGTTTTAAAATGACAGTTATTCAAAAAGACTACTGTTTTGGGCTATACTAATAAAATGCTTTAGCCACATGCTAAAGTGATTTCTTTGGGACAAGGGGACATTTCAGTTTCTATATGCCCTTTCTGCTGAGAGCTTCAAGGAAAGTGCCCATTTAATATCAACATTCCAACCAGAAAATTAAAAAAGCAATTGCTTGTTTTCCAAAGATGATCTGAGAATACTTGTGACACTATCTCTAGGTCATTTGAGTCTGTTTTGAACAAGTATCCTTACTTACTGGTTCAGCCCCTAAGCTCAAGGGTGTCGAGACGGTGGTGAAACACTCCACATTCTACTATTAATCCCTTGAGTGATCTATATCCCATTAATATTCACCTTACCAGAACACACTAAAAAGTTCTTTGATACCAACAAAATTTTATTTAAAGACTCCACCTCCTCCAATGGCAAAATGAAGCCCAGAGCCTGTAAGCAACTCTGCATTGGCACATGAATCCCTAGAGTGCTTTGAGGGAGTACCCAGAAGGGAAATTCTGACACTGGAAGCCTAGACTGCTCCAGGAGCAACAGTGGCATACTGCCCATGCTTCAGACTCAAGGCACAGCTATTGTGGAATTCTTAGTAAATACACTATTTGAAAAATGTTTGCAAAATAGTTTAAGGTAAGTCAACCGAGAGCTGAAAAAGTGGAAAGCCTTTTTTTTCTTCTCTTTATTCCAACCCCCTTCTCAGGGCAGGGTGATCCCTGGCTAAATCCACCCAACCAAGCATTTGTCTAACCTGTTCTTAAAAGGCCTGTGGTGATGAAGATTGCACAACCTTGCTAGGTAGTCTCTTCCAGTGTTTAATCAGTCTCATACTTCATTCTTTCTAGTATCCACCCTAATCTTTTCTTGTTCCAATTTAAAACCAAAACTTCTTGTCTTGTCCACTGTGGACACATAGGCTGCATCCAAATAAGTGCAGACATTCAGCATGTGGTGCCACAGACCTGCGACAAGGTGTGCCACTGCTACTTGTCCCCAGGGAAACAAAAATTTCACACACATGCGGATGCAGCCAGAGTGTAATTATCACCATTCCCTTTATAATAATCCTTAATGTATTTGAACACTTGTCAAATCTCCCTCCTCCCCCACAGTCTTCTCTTTTCCAAGTTAAATAATCCCAGATTTTACAGACATACTTTTGGGACTAATCACCACTGTATGTAAATATTTTCCATGTTTATTTTCAAATAATGATAGGGCAAAGGTACTTTCAATATGATCTATATTTCAAGTTACTTTTTTTTCCTGACTAGAGTGAATAAGGTTGCACAAACAAGAAACATGCTAAATAATGCTTTGGCCTCAGAAGACAGGAATGCTCCGTACTTCTTCTCTCAGAAAAGTGCTAAACAATATACAAGCTGGGGGCGTATCCTCCAAGAACTGAAGAAGGCCAGGTCACAAGCTCCAACCCATGGGAGGTTGTTTAGCCTCTCCTCTAGCAAGGTTGTTTAACCTCTTCTCTAAAGCCCTGTTTCTCAACCCATGGGTTGTGATCCAAAAGTGGGTAACAAGAATATATGAAAGGATCATGAACAATGGCAGAAAAACATGGAAAATTGTGGATTTTCTCCTTTAATTTTCTCTTTTTCTCCCTTAAAGGAGAAAAATGTGGGAAACTGTGGGTTTCCCCTTGCAGGCTGGCAGAGTTCCGGTCTCAAAGTGGCTGTTTGAGCCTGGGAGAAGCAGGAAGAGGGTAATCAAGCAAAGGGCGCCACATGCATGGTGCACACAAACATGGACATGGCAACCAGGCAGCAAAGAAAGCAGCTGCCATGGTTTCTCATAGGTAAGGGGACAAGTATACTTGTGTGTTTTCTACTAAAACTATCTACCAGGTTGGAACTGGCCACATGTTTAGAAATGGGTCGTGGTACAAAAAAGGTTGAGAACCACTGCTCTAAAGCATCATTTGGGGAGTACTGCATAAAAAGAGCTTCTATGTGAATAAGGATACCAGATGAACATTATGGAATCTTTATTAAATAAGATCTCCCAAGTGGAAAATATTAATGAATCTTTATCCAGTCTTACATTTAATGTGAAAGGCTCATCTTTTAAAAAAAAAAAAAAAAATCAAAAAGGTTGAACTTTACATCTTTTAAATCAAGGGTCAAATTTTCCAGTGACTAAATCAGTATACCAGTATGGAAACCAATGATGCAATGGTAATTTTTAACAGTTTAGGATCTGACTCAGGGCACTATTCAAACTTGTATTATATCTGTAAATTCAATTTCTCTCTTCTATGCCTCTTATATCAGCTGGATTTTATGTTGCACTTGACTACTGTGCTTGAAAGGAATGTAGTAAGCAGTGCATAAAAACTAAAAAAACCCTAAAAAGGCTAATTATTCCCTTAGATTTTATAAATGAAATATTCTTAAATTAATAATACCACAGACAGAAGTTTACCTCATTGCATTACTGTACTATAGACTATTTAACTCAGTATCATGTGCTTAAGTAAATCTGTCCTGCACAACATAATCAGCCTAGAGGAAAAAGAGAATCTTGCAGGCTGACTGGAGTGGTGGATGGGCCAGAGGGCCCAGTGGACAATTTAAAGTAACATCTGTGAGGCATGGACATGGCTACAGGAGTGGAAGAAGGCAATGAATAGCCAATAAAGGCAAGTGGTGTGCTCTGAGGCACAAACAGTGCCAGGAGGGCCATCTCATAATGCCCCAGGAGCAAGATGGACCTAGACTGGGCTCACTTGAGGGCCCTGGGGGCAACCTCCCAAAGCCTTATAAATAACACATCAAGGTGTGACAGGAAAAGTAGAAAGGGAGGACACTCCAGGGAGTTGGAGTCAGTGCAGTCGATTTGGGACAGTGATTTGAATCGCCAAATTGAATCACTGTCCACTGAATCAGCCAAATCCAAATCCAAAGCAAATACTAGCTGCTTCACACAGGCCTACTGCCTATGTCTTTAGACCAACATGGCTACAACCAAAAACCCAGCAAAGGGTAGATTAGACACTTTTCTTCAGTCATATTTCAGACTGAAGAACAAGGACCCATCCAG